CACTCAGTTGGCGAAGTATGAGACTGCCAGGGAAGTTTGGGAGCATATGGCAAGATTGTACACAAAATCTAACTTTGCAAAACAATACCAATTGGAGATGGATATTCGTGCCCTTCAGTAGAAAAATACGAGCATTCAAGAATTTTATTCTGCTATGACCGACCTATGGAACCAGTTGGCACTTACAGAGTCAGAAGAGTTGCGGGCGTTTGCTTCTTATATTGCCCGAAGAGAAGAACAACGACTAGTTCAATTTCTGATGGCGATCCGTGATGATTTTGAGGGGCTGCGTGGGTCGATTTTGCATCGCAGTCCACTTCCTTCAGTGGATTCAATGGTCAGTGAATTGTTGGCAGAAGAGATTCACCTTAAGTCTCATGCAGGGAAAGGGATTGTTCCAATATCCAATCCTTCTGTCTTCGCAACACCAACTCCTCAGCGACCGCCTCCCAGTAATCAAAATAGGTCAAATTTGAGGGTTGCTCCTGATGAATGCAGTTTATGTAAACATAAGGGTCATTGGAAGGCTCAATGTCCTACGTTGTTGAATAGAGTCAAACAACTGCAGCACCAACAACAACAACAACCTTGACAGCAACAACAACTACCACTGCCATTACAGGTTCCTCCAATGTGGAAGTCTGGAAATCAATCACAGTAGTGGACTTTCAGGCCACCTCAGCCTAATACTGTGATGGTTGCACCATCATTGGACCCTTATATGTTTGAGCAGTTTCAGAAGTTCCTTACCACGCAGCCGCATGCTATGTCTGCCTCTTCTCATATAGGTTTGTCACCCTCTGGTTCTTCAGGTATGTCTTCTTTGTGGGTCTTAGACTCTGGAGCCTCTCATCATATGTCACCTGATTTGTTATCCTTTGTTTCCTTATCTCCCAACTCTTTTGTGTCAGTTATGACTGCTGATGGTACTCTTATGCCTTTAGCAGGTGTCAGTTCAATTGTCACACCTTGTTTGTCCCACCCTAATGTTTATTACATTCCTAATCTTACTTTGAATCTTGAATCTGAAGTCAATTATGTGAATCTAGATACTTAGTTTTCTTTTCCTCCACTGATTGTTTTATGCAGGACCTGCAATCTCAGAAGTTGATTGGGACTGGCCGTAGGCAAGGGAGACTCTATGTTTTGGATCAGCTTAAAGTACCAGAAGTTGCAGCTTCCAGTGTTGATTTGTCATCCTTTCATTTGAGTCGTTCATCTTATGATTTTTATTTATGGCATTCTCGCCAGGTAAATGAGCGATTGGCTCTCGTTAGGTTTATAAAATCAAAACCAAGTCTGACGGGTCTATTGAAAGATACAAAGCCCGGTTGGTTGCTAATGGATATTCTCAAGAGTATGGCATGGATTATGAGGAGACCTTTGCTCTAGTTGCAAAAATGACTACAGTTCGCACCCTCATTGCAATCACCTATGTTCGTTGTTGGCACATATCTCAGATGGATGTTAAAAATGCCTTCTTGAATGGTGACCTTCAAGAAGAGGTTTACATGTTACCCCCTCCAGGGGTTCCTCATCAACTTGGTGAAGTCTGCAAGCTTAGAAAAACTCTTTATGGTCTCAAGCAAGCACCTCGAGCCTGGTTTGCGAAGTTCTCTACAGTGATTACTTTACTTGGGTTCCGTCCTAGCTATCATGATTCAGTCTTATTTATCAAAAATACCACTGTCGGTCGTATTATGCTTTCTTTGTATGTCGATGATATGATTATTACTGGTGATGATATTGATGGGATTGCAGCACTAAATTCAGAGTTAGCTTGTTGTTTTGCAATGAAGGATTTAGGCTCGTTGCGTTACTTTTTGGGAATAGAAGTTGCCTCCTCTCCAAAAGGTTATCTTCTCTCTCAATCTAAGTATATAACTGACATATTTGAGCGTGCTCGTCTTACTTACAATAAGACTATTGATACACCTCTTGAACTTAATGCCCGGTATTCTTCTTCTAATGGTTCTTCCTTGCCGGATCCTAGCTTATATCGTACTATTGTTGGTAGCTTGGTTTATCTCACCATCACTCATCCTGATATTGCATATGTTGTTCTTATAGTTAGTCAGTTTGTTACTTCGCCACTACAGTTCATTGGGCTGCTGTTCTTCGCATTTTGAGGTATCTTCGTGGTACTTAATTTCAGAGTCTTTTACTTCCATCTACTTCATCCTTAGAACTGCGTGCATTCTCTGATGCTGATTGGGCAAGTGACCATACAGAACGTAAGTCTATCACTGGCTTTTAAATTTTTCTGGGTGATTCTCTCATTTCTTGGAAGAGTAAGAAGCAAGATGTCGTTTCTAGATCTTCCACAGAGGCATACCGTGCCATGGCTTCTACTACTTGTCAGATAGTTTGGTTGCGTCGGCTACTCGCAGATATGGGTGTTTTTCTTGATCGGCCTACTCCTTTGTATTGTGACAACAAGAGTGCTATTCAGATTGCGCGCAATTCAGTTTTTCATGAGCGAACCAAGCATATTGAGATTGATTGTCATGTCACTCGACATCATCTTCAAGTTGGCACTCTTACGTTACCTTTCGTCTCTTCTAATATGCAGATTGCTGACTTGTTCACAAAGTTGCACTCCGCTTCGCGTTTTCATTTTTTGTTTGGCAAACTCTCGATGCTCATTGCAGCCGCATCGTGAGTTTGAGAGGGGATGTTAATTATATTAGTTATTATTATTATCTTTTATTTTTCTCTTCATTAAGGGTAGAATAGTCTTTCTTTCTTATTTCACTAGTCTATATAAACTTTGCTTTCAGTTGTATTTTATTTTGGTTAAGCAATTCAATAAGAAACCCTAATCTCTATTTTTTTTCCATAGAGTTCACAGAACTCTTTCGAGGAAAAAAAAAAAAAAAAAAAAACTTTGAAGGACATTTGAAAACCCTCCCCTAAGTACCTTTGTTCAACAGTGAGCACGAATTATGAAGAAGACGATATTAGCATGGAAAAAGACTGAAAAAAAAAAGTTCTTACTCTTTCTTACCTGTTTACACATGAAAACAAAAAAGAATATCAAACTTTCATGCTTCGCTGGAAAAAATATTTTTATTTCAATGTTTTCCGTTGTTTTAGTGGAAAGTGGGCACGTTGATCGTTCGTCATGGACTGCTCATGTTGATTCTTGTTTCAATAATTTGTTTTGACATTTTTTTTTTTTTTACTCTCTGGATACCGAAGAAGAAGCAGTAGCAGCAGCTTCAGATTGCTTTATATGATATGTTCAATTGCGGCTTAATTTTATAATTTGGATCTCCTCTTTCCTTGTTTATTTTCTTTCTCGTCTTTTACAATTATGTTTGTTGTTTTTCAAAACATATTGTCGCTCATCTGGTACTTGCTAAATACAATTTCCTCTATTATTCCAAGACCATTAATTTGTTTAGGCTATATTTTTTTTTTCTAAATAACAAAAAAAAAAAAAAAACTTGCTTTTATATGGTTCGTTCAATTGCCGTCATTTTCTAATTTGGATGTCGTTTTTCCTTGCTTGCTTCTTTCTTGTCGTTTGCGCGTATGTCGCTTTCAAAGCATAATGTCGTTTCTTATTGTTTTCTGCATTATCTGCAATAAATTAAAAGAGAGGAGTGGAGGTGCGGGGAATCGAACCCCGTGCCTCTCGCATGCGAAGCGAGCGCTCTACCATATGAGCTACACCCCCTGTGACAATGTCGCTGCACCAAAATATAAATCACAAAAACAATAATAGTTTATTCTGTAATTTGCAAAATCTTGCTGCCCCCCGAATGAGAAACAAAAAAAGAAAAGAAAAAAAAAGGGACAGAGCATAGTTTTGTATTCGTCAAGTCTCTAAGTTGAGCCAAAATAAAAACTCTGCATAGGTTTGACCATTCAAATTGATGAAACTTGACGGGGTCTGTTTGGTATAAGGATTAAAATTATGGTGGTTTGAGTCATTTGATTCAGAATCATGATTCATGATTTGAATAATGATTCAGAGTGATTAGAACCTTCGTTTGGATGTGTATATCCATGATTCTTATTCTAACCTAGAATGTGATTTGAACCGGTGATTGATTGTCTTGTTTTCTGAATTTGAATCATGCCTAAAATAAATGTAATTTAAAAAATTATATAATAAGTATAATTCGTGATATAATTTAAAAAATGAAGTACTAGAAAAAAATTATACAAATAATTATAACTCAAAATTATAATAAACTAACTACGAAAGTAATGATAATTTTTTAATTTTAACGTGTCATATTAAAATAAAAATGATTAATTATATATATATTAATATGATATTAACTAGATTTATCAATAAAAACAAATCCTACAAACAAGATGGGCGTAACAATGAGAAGTTATATTTAAGAGAGCATAAATAGGGGGGGGGGGGGGGGGGGGGGGGAATGTCGTATGCTTTCCAGCTTTTCAGCTGCCATCACCTACACAACTACTCCACTGTTTGTGTATTGTATTCCTGATTACAATTTGACTGAATTAAGGGGAGGTTGATTCTGAATCAAGACCCACATGACTCAGACCCTGATTCAAATCAACCAGATAATTTGATGGATCTAAACATGAATTCCTATATTTGACTCCAATTATGTGACCCGAATCCTTCAAGTCCTAATTTTTCAATACACGTTTAGTGGAAATTTCCACTTTTCCTCTTATAATAATTCTTTTAATAGCAAGGCTTTGCCTTTGTTTTGTTCTCTCTCTCAGTTCTTGATTATTTTTTGGACTTATTGCACAAACTTTACCTTATTAACGATAAATCCAAAGGAGACCCAATTCCCACGAAACTTTATACTAAACCACAAGCAAGGCTTAGCTCCCTTCAAAGTTTACACACACACAAGAGAGAGAGAGAGAGAGTGAGAGAGAGAGAGAGACGTTTATTTATAAAGAATTCTTTAAAAAAACAAAAAACAAAAAAGAATTCACATTCCAGCTTGGCGGCTACCTCATACCATTGACAAAAGTTTTAAAGATACTCAATTAAATACACAACAGAAACAACAAGAACAGCTAAAGAGACGAGAGGCGAGAGGAGAGAGAGAGAAGAGAGAGAATCAAACTTAGGACAAGAAATAAAGATGGAGACTCCTCCGAGTGAAGAAGAGTCGCGGAAGATGAAGCTGAGTCCAGCCGCACGGTTGTTTCAGTCACCAAGATTCAATTGCTACATAGTCTCAATCATCGGCTGCAACTCAACCATCGATCCTGAAGTCATCAAAGATGGTTTAACTCGCACTTTGTTCAAACATCCTCGATTCTCCAGCAAATTGGTAGGTACATTTGTTTCTTATATTTCTCTTTAATTTTAAATCATGATTCATAATTTTTTGTAGTAAAAAAAATACACAATATATCATCGTTTTTCTCTTCATCTTCTTCTACTTATTCTCTTTCTTCTGTGTTAAAGCTCCAAAAGTCAGTCTTTTACTTTCCTTTTACTGTTTCTTTTTTAGGTTAATTTATTTATTTTTGAGTTTTGAAAAATTTAAGCACTTTTTTGTCGTTTTTGAGGACCAACCAAATTCCAGAACTGCTGACTGTTGGTTTAACCTGAAATATTCGATGTAAAATTGAAGTTGGGAAAAAAAAAAAAAAAAAAACAGAAATATCTCCGGTGTTCAAAGAAAAAAAATCTCCTCTGTCCACAAAAAAGATCTCCCGTCAGTGTACACAATGAATTCCCTCAACTAATCACAAATCATAATTAGAGAGTTTGATCCTACATTTAAGAAAAAATAAGAATGAAAAAATAGTTTGGAAGGCTTGGGCTCTGTCATGTCATGGCCCACTAGGTCCATTGTCATGTTGACGGGTGTTATCAGTTTGACTTTGTTGCGCCAACTGTAACTTCTCATATTGTCCTTTTCTGATCTTTGATTTTCGATTTTCTTTGAAACGGAAAGGTTGTTGACGACGGCAAGTTCTGTAGAAGAAGGAGATGGGTACGAACTCCCGTGAACCTAGACGACCACGTTTTCATTCGAATCCTGGGCTCGAAGATCGAAAATCCAGACCAGTTCGTCGAAGACTACATCTCCCATCTCACGACGACGCCTCTCGACCTCTCCAAGCCGCTATGGGAGCTCCATCTCCTCAACCTCAAGACCTCCGACTCCGAATCCCTAGGAATCTTCCGCATCCACCACTCAGTCGGCGACGGCGCGTCTCTCATGTCCCTCCTCCTCGCCTGCACGCGCCGCACCTCCGATCCCGACGCGCTCCCGACCCTCCCGGCGCCGTCCAAACGGCCGCCGCCGCCGGATTCCGGAGATTTCTCCGTCCGGTTCTTGAGGTTCTTGATGGCTATCTGGTCGGTGATCACTTTGATCTGGAACACGTTTGTGGATGTGACAGTGTTTGCGGCGACGATTCTGTTTCTGAGTGATTCGAAGACTCCGATCAAAGGTCCGCCGGGGGTTGAGCTCTCCACCAAGCGATTCGTTCACCGGAGTATTAGTCTCGGCGATATCAAGTTCGTCAAGAACGCCATGAATACGGTGCGCATACTGTTTTGTGTGTGTGTTGATTTTGATGATTTAATGGGGCGATTAAAGTTTCTTATGTGTTAATTTGGGTGATTTAATCAGACGATTAATGATGTTTTACTGGGAGTGACGCAAGCTGGTCTTTCGCGGTATCTGAATCGCAGATATGGTGAGTTTCTAATTGAGAATTGCTTCTTTTGTATCTGTTACTGAAGATTAATCTGGCTATTACTTGTGTAATTAGGCATACGTCGGAAATACATAGAGAACTCTTTAAATTTGTTGGCTTTACTACTGTTTTTCTTGTTTTCTCATTGGTGGTGGGGAGGTCTTACTTCCACTTGAAATTGTTAGTAGTACATGCAAAAGATTATTAAGATTAAATGAGGTGTTAATTAGGATTTCCTTCATTAGATTGAGATTACAATTTGCAATTAACATAAGGATTCTTTGTCTGATTACTGATGTTAAACACGTTGTGTAATGGAGCAGCTCAAATTGAGAAAGATGAGGGAACAAACAAGAAGACAAATTTTCTTCCTAAAAAGATTCGTTTGAGTTCAACTGTTCTTGTTAATCTAAGACCAACAGTGGGGATTCAGGTGAATATACTATACTTTGTACTTGATTGTGGATCAACATGACAAACTTTCTCAGTATTCTCACATTGTACTTTTGATTGATTGATCTTCGTTCTCACGTACTTGCTAAAAAAACAGGCTCTGACAGATATGATGGCTAAGAATTCGAAGGCTAAATGGGGCAATTTGTTGGGTTACCTCCTGCTCCCCTTCAACATTGCTTTACAAGATGACCCGTTGGATTATGTTCGTCAAGCCAAAGCCACTATTGATCGAAAAAAGCACTCCCTTGAAGCTATTTGCACATACTTATGTGCCCGATTTCTACAAAAAATATTCGGAGTTGAGGTGCGTATAGTTTTCTCAATATCTCTCAAATATACATATCCATTGTTACTTGACGAGCAACATGAGAATTATTTTGTACTAGTTTTGATTTAAGGGTATTATCAAGAAATTCAACCACATTGTAGGAATGAGAAATTCTGACTAAATTGAATAAATCTTAGCATACAACATTTAGTTGTCTAGCATATGTAATTCAAGTGAATCTTATTTGCAATAATCTGATAAGCCTCCTGTGCGTTTTACCTACGTGCGGAGGAGAGCTAGAGGAAGGAATGTGGCTGGTGCAGGGGCTGGCAGTAAGGGTGCAAGTCAGCAAGGAATTACTCGGGGAGAAGATGAGCTGGCAGGTCCAATGGCTAAGCTGGCAATTTCAGGGGGAGGTTAGGTTGTTTGTTAGAGGGAAGTTAGTTACTGGATATAGAAATACTATAAATAGCTTAGTCATAGCAAGGGGGAGGCATTCGATCATTTTGTTCAGAAACTTCTTAGACAAGTTGATAGGAGAGCACTGGATCTCTCGAAAATCCCCATACCTTTCTTTACACTTTCTTGTCGCCATTGTTGATTTTCGATTCCATTAATACAGAATTCTCTTTCAATTTACCATCTTTCTGTGTCAATTTACTTGGGAGCATATCAATTGGTATCAGAGCATGCTCCTCCTCAGGCCCATGTTGCGGAATGGGCGACCTGGGGAGGGGCGACCTGGAAAGGCCAGAGTGGGCCATCCAGAGTGGGCCGCCATCGACGTCGGTGTCGGAAGCGTGGTGGTATGTTAGGATCCTGGTTGAGTCTCACATTGCTAAAGTATGGGCTTAGTATGTGGGTTTATAACCACTTGGGCACCCTCTCCCTACAAGCTAACTTTTGGAGATGAGTTCTACCCAAGAGTTATAACATAATCACTCATGCTCAACTAACTGAGTATATTTGCGAGCTAATTGTTGAGTAACATAGTGTTCACATTGTTGAACAGATAACTGCAGCTACAGCACGAAGAGCCATTTCTAACACTACAGTGGCCTTCTCAAATATGATGGGTCCATTAGAAGAAGTTAGCTTTTATGGCCATCAAATTTCTTACCTTGCTCCGAGCGTTTACGGCCATCCACATGTAAGCTCTCTTTTAAGACGAGAACTATTATTCAATCCTGCACACACATTTGTGTTTTGTGTGTGCGCGCGTTGTTTTTTTTTTTTACTTTTTTTTTAAAATTCTTTATTTGAGATATTTATGCTTTGGTGTCCCGTTTTCTTACAGGCATTAACAATCCATTTCCAGAGCTATGTTGACAAGATGACTATTATTTTGGCAGTGGACCCGAATGTGATTCCTGATCCTCAGCAATTGTTTGACGATTTTGAGGATTCTCTTAAACTCATTTGCGAAGCTGTTATAAAACAGGGCCTCAACAAGGAAACTGTCTAATTGAAAAGGAGGGGAAAAAAAATCTTTTTTCCCCTACTGAGTACTGAGAGTGCTGTATATTACGCCATTATGTTTAAAAGAATTGTCAGTTTATATATATATATATTTCATTTTAGTCCAAAAGATATGTTGTTCCTACTTCCTAGAGGACAAAAGTATCTGTCGTTATGTGGCTAAAGGACAACAATGAACAAACTTAACGACAGAAATGTTTAGACCATGAACAAAATATCATTTTGACTTGACGACAGTTAAAAGGTAAAGAAGAAACAAACATGTTTGGTGTAAGGAAACCGAGCTCTAAAGCAATTTGAAATGTCCTCATTGTATTGTAACGACAGGGAATTTGCAAACGATTTGACGCGTGCTGTTTTTATACATATACAGCAAGCACTATGTGTTGCTTTTCCAACCAAACGACAGCCAATTTTCAATATATTTTTTATCAGACATTAATTCTATTTTAATTTCATTTCTTTTCCTTTCAATAATTTATTTTTGTCAATTTTTCGGGTGCAAACCTGGTTTTAAGCTTTTATCATAAAGATGAGGTTAAGGGGTGTTTGCAGCTGGATAAGAATAATCTCTCTTATGATAAGTATCTTGGGCTGCTTTTTTTTGTTGATAGGAATAAACTGGTTACTTTTAATGTAATTAAGGATAGTGTTTTAAGAAGCTTACGCTTTGGAGATGAGGCTTTTCTCTATGGCAGGAAGGGAAATCTTGATTAAAGCAATGGCCTAAGCTACTACCACATATACCTTAGGTGTCTTTCGGATCCCTCAAGCTCTCTGTCGGGAGATTCAAGCTATGATTTCACGGTTTTGGTGGGGCGGCAACGACACTGAGAATAAGATCCATTGGGCAAAGTGGGAGCTATTATGTCGTCCTAAGAGAGAGGGAGGTATGGGCTTTCGTGATGTGGGTGCATTTAATCAAGCGTTTCTGGTGAAGCAGTGTTGGCGAATCCTTTCAAAACCTTCCTCCTTTGTTGTCACGATTTTTAAGGCTAAGTATTTTCCAAGAGGTGATTTTCTTGATACTAATATTGGACACAACCCCTCATATACTTGGCGTCGTATATATGGGGATGAGAACTTTTGAAAGGTGGCATTCGTAGACGTGTTGGTTCCGAGAAATCCATTCGATGTTTTAGGGACCTAGGGTCCCTAGACCTCATTCTTTCCGTCCAATTACGGCAGTGACTGAAGAAACTGAAGATTGGTTGATGGAAGATCTTATTATTAATAGGCAATGGAACCGGGAGCTTATTCGTCATATTTTTCTCCCTATTGATCAAGAAATTATTCTCAACATGCCTTTGAGCTGTGGCTCTAGTGAAGATCTCTGGGTGTGGCATTATGATTCTAAGGGGCTCTATGCCGTTCGTGCGGGCTACAAGCTAGCCATGCGTCTAAGAAATTTGCCTAGTAGTTCTGGAGGGAGAGGGGATAGTGTGTGGTGGAGGAAATTGTGGGATCTTCATATTCTGAATAAAATCAAGAACTTCATGTGGAGGGCAATTTTGGGTTTCTTACCAACCTTTGCCAATTTAGTTCGGAGGGGGATTAATTGTGCAACGAGATGTCAGCGCTGTGGTGAGGAGGAGGAATCTATTTGGCATGCACTATGGATGTGCCCTGCTGTTATTCAGGTGTGGGAAGTGAGTGCCCTCTGGCACAAGTTAAAGCCTCTCAAAGTTAGAGGTTTTGATGCTCTATGTGTTATGTTTAGCAAAGTAGCAACTTGAGAGGACCTTGAAATTTTCTGTGTACTAGCGTGGATGGTTTGGGTAGCTCAGAACCAATTTGTCCATCACCGAGTCTATCGGGAGCCGACAGATATCCTAGGAACAACTGGGCAGACAATTGCTGAGTTTCAGAGCTGTTGGGATCCGGTGGCCAAACATCAGACTACGGTGCCCGTTAGTGAAGTACGCTAGAAACCTCCGGTGGCTGGACTTTTCAAGCTTAATACTGATGCGTCAGTTTGAGATAATACGAGCTCCATTGGAATAGGTGTTGTCATCAGGGATGTGGAAGGAATAGTCTGTGCTTGTCTGGAGAAGAGGATTGCCAGATCTTTCTCACCATTTTTAGCCGAATGCATGGCCCTTCAGGAAGGCCTAATTTTCACACAAGAGCGGGGGTTCTCCATCAGCGTGGTTGAAGTTGATGTTGTTCGTGTAGTTCAAGCGGTTAAAGAAAGCTCAACGATGGGCGAAGAAGGTGTTATTATAGAAGATATTGTGAGGCCTTTGTAAAAATAACTCTTTTGAAAAGTTTTATTAGTAAAATAACTTTTCAAAAATTTTTATTTGTAAAATGACATCTTTTTACAAAGAATGAGTAAATGTCTTTCTTCATAAAAAATAGAATAAGGTCATTTTGTTAATTTCACTTTGTTGGAAAGTCATTCTAGCATATTGCCCAGATATTATTCGGTTATTATCCTCTATGAAGAGGTGAGAGTACTCTCATATAAACAGAAGTGGTAATAAAGTTGCTCATGTTATAGCTTCTTTTGGTTTTAGTTGTACAATGAATTTTGTTGGGGTTTATGCGACTCCTTGCTTTGTATCTTCTGTTGTGCTCGCCCTGTTTAATTTAAAAGTTGTTTTCCTGTTTTTTTTTAAAAAAAAAGCCAAGTCATTTGTCAAGTTTGTCAAGTTTGTCATTTGTTAACCTGGTTTTAACTTTTGATGTTGTTCCTTCCTACTTTCCTTTGTTTTCCATCCCAAGTGTAGATCTAGCCTCTTGGGCTTATGATTTTTTATTTTTTTTAAACTTAGTCGCTTCTGCCACGCGTAATCCCTGAGGCCGATCTCTGCCTTTGGTGGATCAGGTCGATTTAATTTAAACTACCTCTTTTTTTTTAAAGGTAAATAGTCCTACGACTAGTATTTAAACGGGAGATTTGAGGGAAAAAAAAGAGTCAATTTTTATCAATTGAGTCCAAGTTACTGTCGTCAATTTTTTTTATCAATAAGTTCAAGTCGTAACTTGTGTGAGAATCACTCTTGTAATCTATTTATGCTGATTAAATAAGAGTGAAAATATATATACAACTGAGATAAATTTTTTATTTTTTTTTTTAGAATAACCGAGATAATTCTTTGACCATAGAGTAATATTTTTTGTGATTCTCTTTTTTAAATGATAATTTTTTTACTATCCAAAAAACCTTAATTGTTAATTTGACTTGAAAAAGAGTGTCTCTGTATTTTTATAATTTGAGTAAAATATAGATGTGTGAATGTAAAGTAAATTTGATTTTTCTAACCAAAAAAAGTAATTTTGATTTGATGATATGATAAACTAAAAAAAAGAGAAAAAAAATTAGGTAAATGACCATTTTTTAACTATCTTTTTTAATAGATGGCTGAATTTTTTATTTTTTAAATAAGTGGCCGATTTTTTTTTATTTTAATAAAATAGTCTTTTTTGTAATAATCAATCATGATTGACTTTAGCTAAGCATGAATCGGCTTATTAATTATTATAATTCATTAATATTTTATTATTAATAAACAAGTAATTTATTGATTGAAATTGATAAATTATTAATTAATTTTAGCTAATTATTAATTAATATTAATTAATAATGAGAAATTATTGAGTTAATTAGTGATAAATTTAAGCCAATTAGTGATTGATGGCTAATCAATCATTAATTAACTGCTAATCAATCAGTAATTGACCATTTAATTAATAAAAAAAGTCATTATTTTGTTAATTTTATAAAACTTTGATTATTATTATTTTTTTTTTTAAAAAGGGTCATTTGTCTCGATATCATAAAAAAAATAAAGTTTTTTTTTTACTCAGAAAAAAAAAAAGAAATAACCATTCAAAAAGAGAGAGAGAAAAAGAAATAAAAATAAAAGAAGTTTCTGGAACCCAGCCGCTTTCCAAATTCTGTCTCGGACTAGAGTCGGAACTCTCTACCACACTCCTCTCTTTTCTGCTCTCTCTTCCTTTATATATTTATACTTCTTTGCTTGTGTCTCAATCCAAGAACCCTAACTCCTCATTGATCAAATCCACGACGCGATTACTCTGCCATGGCGATAATCTCTGATTTCGAAGAAGACCAGAAGGAGATGAAGCCCTCCCCTTCACCATCGTCCTCCGCCGTGACGGCGTCGTTTACCGCGACCTTCGACCCTTCCAATCCCCTAGGGTTTTTGGAGAAAGCTGTCGACTTTGTTGCGCATCAGAGCGATTTTCTCGAGAAAGTGACCGCGGAGAAGGAGATTTTGTCGGTAGTTCGAGCCGCGAAGGCGAGGAAGGCATTGGAGAAGAAGAAGATCAAGATTGAGGAGGAGACGAAGAATATCAAGATTGAGGAGGAGGCGAAGAAGGTAAAGATTGAGGAGGTGGAGGAGAAGAAGCCGAAGGTGAGCCAAGTGCCGAAGAAGGAGGTTAAGAAGGAAGAGGGCAAGTCTCCAATTGAAGTGGATAAGGAGGGTAATGGCGCCTTAGGTACCGACCTTTCTCTGTGTGTAACTTCCTTTTTGATTGTTTTTACGATTAGAAAGTTGAGGAAGAAAGAAAGAGAGAATATTTATTGCAATTATGTGAATGGTTTGTGTTCTTGTTAGATCATCTGTTTGGGTAAATTCTTGTTGGCTTATGTTCTGGTTAGATTGTTTGTCTGGGATAAATTCTTGTTGGTGATTGTGTTCTTGTTACAGAGCTACATTATTCTTGTTTAGGTAGATTCTTGTTTATGTTTTGTGGATATTGGTCTGTGGTGCTGAGTACGTTTGGCTGCTCGGAAAATAGAGGAAAACCCATCACAGATATGCCACATTGAGGAAAAGAAATCACTTTACTCTAGGGAAAGAAAATTGCATGTGATTGTAGTGGAGAAATCTTCCGTGAAATTTAACGTATATAAAATGTTTGTGTTGCATAATGTGAGCAATTAGTGGTTATCTAGTTCTCATTGGTGAATTTTTATATTGAGTAGTGCTTTTGGAATTCCTTTTATCCATAAGCATTGTTGTCTTGTATCCTATTTGCTTTAAATTCCCCTGTCGTTTCACTTACATAAATATCTGGGCAGCTCCCAATCGAGGCAATGGCCTTGATCTGGAGAAGTACTCGTGGACTCAAACCTTGCAAGAAGTTAATGTAAATGTTCCAGTGCCTGCTGGGACGAAAGCAAGGTTTCTTGTGTGTGAAATCAAGAAGAACCATCTAAAGGTTGGACTCAAAGGCCAGCCACCTATAATTGAGGTAAGCATGCTTGCATAGCTGTGCAATTCACTAATTTGAGTGTTTTTCTTTTTTTCTTTTTGTCGTTATATTTTCCCGGTTATAATGTAAAACCAAATACTTGCAGGGAGAGCTTTACCGATCGATCAAACCTGATGATTCTTACTGGAGCATAGGTAAGTAACTGCAGATAAATAGCATACAAGACACGTTTGACGTTATGTTTTATACTTGTTTATTGGAGCAAGCCAAGTTCCAGACTTAATCTTTGTTGAATTATCCTGTTATTACATTATATTTTTGTATTCTTGTGTTAACCCCTTCGGTATTTGCATCAACACTGCTAGGTTATGTGTACCTATGATGCGAGCTTCTTGATTGATTAGTTAATGTTCACTGTGTAGCATTAGATTTTTGAACCTTTTACTATGAATGAGAATAACCTTTATCAAAGGTGCACACATTGGGGATTCTGAATATGTTATACTTGTTACAGAGGATCAGAGTGTTGTCTCTATTCTTTTGACCAAGCATGATCAAATGGAGTGGTGGAGATTTTTGGTGAAAGGTGATCCTGAAATTGATACTCAGAAGGTTGAACCTGAAACTAGCAAATTGGCTGACTTGGATCCGGAAACTCGACAAACTGTTGAAAAGATGATGGTAAATCACTATTCACATTCCACCACCTCTTCAGTTCTCACTTTTCGCCCCAATTGTTTGTCCCTTTTTTTTGTACTTGTACAGTTGTACTTGTCCTTGTCATTGTCTTTGTATGTGAATGTTTATCGCTGCATGCATTTGTTGATTCATGATTAATGAGCGCTGTGTGAATTTGTTCAGTTCGATCAGAGGCAGAAGACCATGGGCCTGCCAACTAGTGAGGAAATGCAGAAGCAAGAGCTTCTCAAGAAATTCATGACCGAGGTGAGCACTAAACACATTTGAGTGAGAGAGGGGTTATCATAATACTCTAGTAAAACTTTATTGATTTGTATGTTCTCTTTTGCAGCATCCGGAGTTGGACTTTTCAAATGCCAAGTTATCGTAAACGGACTAGAATTTTGGACTTATATGGAACCACTTTTACTTCGGGGGAACTTTTGGAGCTTTTTGTCAGTTTTTGGGTGGTGCAGACCTGGGTTTTAACCTTTTATCATATGCCAAGATATCATAGACAGACTTAAAGTATTGCTATTTATTTTTGTCAGTTTTAAGGTGGTGCAAACTTGGTTTTTTAACTTTTTATCATATGCAGTCATTTATTTATTCTGTAGCTATAATATCCCCACAACTTATCATGCCGTTTATGGAGAATTTGTGAATACGCCTAATGCTTGCTGGTTCCTAGTTTTCGCTTTGGTGGTTTGTTTTTCTTCTCTTTTTGAGGATAGTTTATTCGTCTTGCTGGTTTTGCCTTGATAGAAGAACCCCACAATCTTTACGTTATCCTTTATATAGTTTATTATGTACTTACAATTGCTACATACTGCTTTATTTGAAGCCTTAATTAAGCTTAAAAACTTTAGAGAATAATATTTGAGACATGATTGATCTGGAGAGTGATTTAACGGTAGCTGTGAATTTGGCCTTTGTTCCTGCATTCTTGTCGTTTGTGTGCTTATTTGCATTCTTCCTTTGCAATTCCAAAGAACTAATAATAGATGATCAACTCAAGGTGCCAACTACCATAAGACGACGACCGTTCGTTTCGGACCAAACTCCATACTCTTTGGGGGGTATGATTATACATCCTAAGGGTATGTTTGTTAGGAGGGAGGGAGGGAGAGGGGTGGAGGGAAAGGGTGAATTTTTTGTTTAGTAAGAAGGAGAATGTTTGGTTGGAGGGATGGAGAATGGTGGAGGGAAAGGGTTAATTTCTTGTTTGATAAGAAGGAGAAGAGGATGGATGGAGGGAGAGACTTTCTTTCCGGACTTATTATTTTGGAAAGGATCTAACTAATCCACTAAAATTAAAAAAAATAATTTCTTTCAAAAATAATTTTTAACAAATAATAAAATGAATAATATAATAATTAAACAAAAAAACTATCGTCTATCATTTTAATTATAATTTTTTTCATTCTTTACATTTTTTATATAGTAATTAAATAAAAAAATTATCATTTATCTTTTTAATTCTCTTTCCTTTTATTAAATAACATATAAATTATTATAATTTTCATTATCGTTCACATTTTTCGTCTTTCCAATCCTCTCCGTCATTCATCTTACCAAAGGAAGTCTTAGCTCTTAGGGACGGTGTTCCCTTGCTGGGAGATCTCTGTGTCGTGTTATATAAATCCTAATAACAATAATAATAGATGAATGGACATGTCTGGAATTTGTGTTGTCTCCAGTTGCACGACGCAAACTATTGTCGACACGTGCCCATAATGCCACGGTTGTCGTTTTCAGATGCCCTTTTCCATAAAAAGGTGGTGGCCTTCCTGAGGGCGCCACTGCATTTGTTCCACTGTGGGTAGGTTCTTTCGGACAGGTCTGGAAAACGACACCTTTGTTTTTTCTTCTCATCCCCATTCCTCAATCCATTAAAGGGTAACCATCGTTCAAATGGCCCTAATAGCAAAAGGTTACGACTAGTAATCACCTAAATTTAGGTCCAAATATTAACTCTTAGAGCACACAAGATAATTTCTATATTTTTATTCAAAACAAACAAGGATCATTATTAATTTCATCACTATGAGTGGTATTTAATATTTTACTGTCCACTTCATCAATGAATATTTTCCAATTTCCAGGGAAACATCCCTATAGTAGGCCTAATTAATAGTCGGTAATACCAAACTTTATAGGGAAAAAGACTTTTAATTGTCTTCCAACTAACTTTGGTCCAAGGAATTATTCAGTACACCGGATGTACCACGTCATATTATTTATGTGGTACACTCGTCTAATGAGATTGTATTATTAGTACACCCGTCTAATGAGATTGTACCATTTAGACATTTTGTCTATGTCAGCTTTTCACTTTTTAAAAGTGAAAAGCTGACATAGATAAAATGTCTAAATGGTATAATCTCATTAAACGGATATACTACATAAATAATATGACGTGCTACATCCAGTGTATTTAATAATTCCTCGTTTGGTTGTGTCTAGTTTTTCACGACCTCAATTTATACGCGGGTGACACTAGCTTACACGTCATCGGAGATATATTTATAGCAGACAACTTGTCCTTTTACTATGGCCTAAGAGTAAAATCTGAGTTTTGAGGCATAATTTTTTATTTGGGGTAGAAACAAACTTACAAAATTTATTTCAGGCATAATTTATTTTATCATATCAACGTGATTTTCTTCACTGTCTTGACAAAATAATATCTAACATTTTGATTATCAAAAAAGCAATGTCTTGCCTTGTAATGTTGCTTTCTCTATATGCGTTTTTCCGCTAATGTCATACTACATGATCACAATTGTATGTCTATCCTTGTCTTCTTTTCTTATAGTCTCTGTTAATTTTCAGCTGGCAAGTTCTTTGAAAAAATGATTTGAATTAAATATTCTAGAAGAGTGGCGAATTGTCTTAATAGTAGGTGCTGATATTTGGTTGAATTAGTGACTTTGAGAGAAAATATATGTCGTCACCGTAATCAAAACCTTATTCATTTTACAACTTAAATTTTATTATTATAGTGTTTTTTCTCACAAAAATTTAAATTTAAATTTTTTGTTATAATATTTTTAACTCACATATACAATAGTTATGACTTAAATTGTAAAATGAACACAACTAAAATATCGCGAGCAGTATTAGAAATAAGAATTAAAAAATAAAGCTTTTTTAGTTATGTCGCGTCCAGTATATAAATATTCAAGCCTTTTCAAGTAGAAAAGAACCGACTCACGGTTTATTAATTGTTTGATCTTTTCAAAATCATAATCCAACCTTATTGTTGATATTTGAAGATGATTTGAAGATGACATATTTATTCTTATACTTTAAGCGGTTACTCCAAATATGGTCTCCGCAGAAGGTTTATCCATAAAAACTGTCGCTCTTCCTCAAACACACTCTACAAAACGATCAACTACCTATAATTAAATTTTGACTAGCAGAAAAAAAAAAAAAAAAAAAAAAAAAAAAAAAAAAAACCCCAAAATAAAAAAATTTTGTTTTTTTTTTTTTTTTTTTTTTTTTTTACAAATTTCAGAAAAAAAATTAAATAACAATCACTTGAGGGAAGGAACTTTCCCTAGTTCTCACATTATTAGCCACTTTTCAAATCTAGAGAGGTATGTATTTATCAGCTTTCTTAAACAAGTCTTTTTCATTGCTATAAATAAAAGGTTGATGCACCAATAACATCGGTTTCAATACCAAAATCATAACTATAGTCTTGTAAAAGACATCTCGTTTATGATTGGCTCTACAAATCCATAATTAAGCAAAATAATTTCAATAGATAATCATCAAATTATTGAGAAGCATTTCTAGATAGTACTTGTGAGTAGTGAGAAATTGGCAACACCAATTGCGGTGCATTGAGAGAGAGGGAGAGAGAGAGAGAGAGAGAGAGAGAGAGAGAGAGAGGGAGAGAGAGAGAGAGGAAAAGGAAAGGACTTGAGAAGACGCCCTTTTATATATGGACATTTTGTTTTCTTCCTTTTTACCCTTAAAGGTTGTGAATGAATGAATTGAAATAGTATTTATGTTTTTTGATCTATATGACAAGTTGCACAAAAGGACACTTTTGAGATACACAAAATTCCAAATGGATCAAATAATGCAAACTGTCATCTCATCATCAACCCGCATGGTCCGACATATGGGATAGCCAACATTGTCGCAAAATGGAATCAAGGCTAATGAAATTCGACATGTCCAAAATATTGCAATATTGCAATAGGTCTAAAGAGCCTGCAATATTGCACGCTGCATACGCATTCTTTCAGTGTTGTGTGAGTGAGACACACGTAATTTGTGCTTTTGTGTAATTTTAGTGAACACGGCTACTTATTATAGGTAGCCACAAATCACCGTATATGGTAAAAGATGAAATTCTTAGGTCATATAACGAAATTTGATGACTGTAAACTTTTTGAACAGTGCTACGGATATCAATAGTGGTCACTGCATATTAATAAAATGTGAATCTTATAAGATGTCGTTTATAAATGAGTTTATATTTTATTAGTTGTGATGTTTAACACACGCAGTATTATTTTACTATTAAAATGTGCCACATGGCGATCTATATTTTGGCATCCTCATAAATACAAATGCACAAGTGGATTTCCACTTATGTTGGACCACTCATGAGACTACAACAGGTCCATGGTAATGGCCAAATCTAAGCTTTGATGTTAAATTATTTGGTGAATGAAGTAAATAGTAGATTTATAATAATAAAAAAATTAAAGTAAATAGTAATAATTTATTATGTAAATGTTCTTTTTATGATTAGTAAATAGATTTGTTTCTATATAAACTTTTTTATGACTAGTAAAAAAAATTTCCACATAAACAAATATTTTTTATCACATAAATTATTTTGTTAGTGATAAATAAAATATGTACACGATAAACTACTATATACTTCAAATAGTGTTAAAATATGTTATTTACCTAATTTAATTTCTATTTGCTACAACTTCTCTAAATTATTGCAAATGTTTTCGAAAGGGAAAAAAAAAACTTTGCACAAATGTTATTTAAAATTGGGGCCAAAAGTACCATACATATATATATGTGCGTCACTATAGTCTATCCTTATATATATAAACAAACACACATATATATATGTCACTGCGATCGACCATCCTAAGTTGGTTGGTGTCACTCAAATTCACGCCAATGAAAGAGATTGATTTCATAAATTATGTTTGATTGTGGTTCTACTGCACATCATGGGATGTAACATACGGCCATTTGGTAAATATTTTCAAAATAATTTTATTTTCAGTACAAAAATAAAAATAAAATTATTTTGGGAATTATTTTGAGATCAATTTTAAAATTACATTTAGTTAATTTTTTAAAAAATTATTTTGAGTATAATAAAAAAATAAAATCGTATTTAGTTATAATTATTAATTAATATAATATAACATTATTGATAAATATTAACAAATAAAAAAAAATAAAAAAAAAATTTTAACCGTTTTCTAATTTATTTACTAAAATTATTCTTATTGATTTTATTTTTGATTTCATTTTTAAAATATTTATTAAATAAATATATTTTGCAAAATATTTTTATTTTTATTTATTAAAAGACGTGAAAAAATGCTTTTAAA